ACAAAACATTCGTTCATGTTCATCTAGTACTTCTTGGTTAAATTGCGTTTTCTTCTGAGATACCTGCTTTGAATTATAAGTCAAATAAGTCTAATCATCACACTGGCGTCGTGATGGAGCCTGCGCTCGAACAGTCAGAGATTTATTCAATTTCTGAGGCATATGAGGATTATTTGGGAAGGTTTGATATATTGCGCATGACCAAGAATGATGTGGAGGGTGATAAATTTGTGGCACATTTCCTTACACTTATTGGTGAAGAAGTCTACAAATTATTAAATATTTTAACATTTCCAGAAAAGGTATCTGACTTTCATATGAAAATCTTAAGGAACTGCCACTAAATCATGTACAGTTCACCAGTTTTGAACATCGTGAGAGACAACCAAAAGGTTCAGGAATCCATCCTTGAATTACAAAGGCAAACTACCAAATTCAGTTTTAGCGCCCAACCTAATGTGCTGCTAAGGAATCGATTAATTTCAGGGATTAACATCTCACGTCTGTAAAGAGGGTTGTTGAGAATGCCGAACTGTTCCTTTCAAAATGCTAGAACTATATGTATTAACTAAGAAACAGTGAATGAATTTGATATCCAGTCAACCAAAGTTTTTAATGCTCCGCTCAGTCGTCATGATGAAATACAATCTCAGGGTCCATCAAACTTGCGTCCGTTTAATGGTGATTCCTATTTTCATGAAAATATAAAAAATGATTCAACAATGACTTGGAAAGCAAACAACAAAGATGAGATCAAGTTTGGTAAATGTTTATCATGTGACAAATTTCATTCTCGTAATGCATGTGCATTTCGTAATGCTAAATGTTTTAAATATGGTAAGATAGAACGCATTCAGTTAGCATGCGGGACTGCTGTTCATTTTGCTTGTAATTTAGATCCTAGTAATTCGGATGTTCCTAATGATCATTAACCTTCATCCACCATTTCAAAAGGTAATGCTCACATTCAAAAGCGATTATATACATCCCTCGGTTTATTTCGTGACTATTGTGTACACAGGCAATATAGAGATCATTACTTCATTCAAGAACGTGAAATCTTTAGATCCTAACGTTATTGTAAGACCCAGCGAAGTCTCAATATTGGGGATTACTAGACACAGACTGCCCATACCAGGATGCTGTGAATCGCAAATCAGAGATTATAATTCTTCACAGATGTCTTGTGAATTTTTAGTTAGCGAAACAAAAGCGTCAATACTGGGTTTTAAAATTTTTTTAGTTGCGTGTGCTAAGTGAAGTGAAGGTATTTAAATTCAGCCTTTAAAACTTCAAGTACAGAGTGGTCCACTGTATCTTAAGAGACGAATAATTCATTATGGTCTTCGAGAAACAACGCACAGACATTGAATGATTTGTGAGCGAAAGGTATAATTAAAACTGTTCAGTCTTCAATATGGGGTACTCCTATTGTTACGTAATTGAATTCGGATGACAAAACCCTACTTATCAAGGTTAGTAATGTGATTTTCTTGCACCCTGATAAAAATGAAGACAACTACAGAGAAAAAAGAAAAGGCCACAAGATACACTGCGATATATATATATATATATTTGTGTAGGGGTCAGACATAAATTATTTAGACCTGCGTTCGATATTATCGGAGAGGTTTTTGAAATATACATCCCAACTACCCTCATACATAATTATCGGCCTAATGAGAATAAATGTTTAATAGGTATATTCCGTAGATTATTTGATCCGTAGAGACAACCAAAGAAACGAAGTGAAGAGGGCGAAGATGAGAGTACTAAGCGGAGCGGTGAAGACAAGTGAACCAAATCTATTTGATTGACTGTGTCATCTGCAGGAATGTACTGCTAATTACGTATATTATTTCCTCTACTTAAGCATTCTACTTGGGAAGCACACTGTAATTGAACTAATACAATAGTTTGTAGATCATATTTGTAAAAATGGCTTGTACCTGCCTTGGTAGAAATACATTATTATTTATTGTCGAACACATAATAAATAATGGAAGCAATTAACATACATACACTCATACAAAAACAGTTAGGGTTATTAAGCGAACAAGGTCAAAATGTATCTTGAAAAGAATGTGAAACCAGGTCTACCGACACATGTAGGGTCGATATAGTACTAGATACAACATTTTCGCATGTGCTAGTAGATCAAAAAAAGCGACAGCTTCATCAAGATTTCTTAAAAATACATGCAGTTTATCTACCATGCATAATTCTGAAGGACGACTATCCTATATTAGTGAATGTGTAGAATCATTGTCCAATTCACTATTAATACATTTATCCTCGTTACCATAATAGACCTAAGACCAAAATTGTAGATTTGACTACCTAATCTATAAGGCACATCATATATACTGACTCGCCCTACTGTGACAACCAGCAATAAAATGATTAGTTCTTCTGAACACCACATTCCATTTGAGAATAAGATAATATATTTCATGCGGGAAGGTATGAGCTATATAGACTGACCACGGCTACAGGGCTGAATCAATCATTCCAATCAATTCTCCCTGTGGTGACAATCTCTGACCTCCCCATTAATGCTGGATGTGAATTTCATCAGTTCACTCTGGAAGATCGTGTGGTTGGAAAATAACACCAGTAAAATTGTCTCCTACTAGAATCAACGTAACGTCTTTCCGACACAAAGTCGAGTGGCATTATCACGCGCTTAAAGTCACCATGAGAATAACGCGAATATTCCAAGTATTGGTTAGCTCAAAGATAAATCAAAAGGACGGCCGCAACTGATTAGGGAAAACACAGAATGTTTTAAAACTGTTGTTTCAGTTCTTAACGTACTCAAAGTGAAACTCCACGTAGAGATTATTTAGACGCTGAATAAAGTGGGACTAAAATTGAAGAATGAGTTAGCACAGAGATTCCTTAACAAGCCACGTTACGATGCGTAGCCGTGACCATCCGTTAATAGTTTAACTTATGGGTCGTCCCCGTGCTCACAAATAGAAAACAACCAATATTACGGAAAGTATGATCTCTGGTTCAAGTGAAGATTAATTTAATATCGGTGTACCGGCTGCATTTGTTGATATTTAATTTAAATCGAATCAGTAGGCTAACTGAAGGAACGGAAGTATACATTACCGTATGAATGAGCAGGTTAGTGCAGTAGTTCAGAGTAAATAACAGGAGTGAACCTAAACGTTCTTTCCTAGACAAGTCCCAGGGCTCAGCATTAAAGGTGATATTCAATGATTGGGTCAGTTCAAGTAACTTGCTAGTGAAGTGCCGTCTCATTATTTCCAACTTCAGCAGACAAGTCAAATTAAATAACCCCGCAAAAACTGAACATGGAAGACCGCAGAAGAGATTTGTTTGTTTGTTCATTTACCGTTCCACAATCAATTCTCAAATAATTGATAGAGCATCTTAAATAAGCCCTACTTGACACAAAAATGAACACATTTTGCCTATGAAGCTGTAATGTTAGAAGTCACGTAAATTGTAAACATATATCGAGAACGAAACTTTGGCGCTTGTTTATAATTTTCGTTGCATCTGAGTAAACTCCTGCCTCATATATAGGACAAAAAACCTGTTAGGAGTAGTAATCTTATTTCATGACACTGAAGGCTTGCAGACATTTCTCAGTTTATTACTAAGTGACCAGTTGTGCTTCAAAATTAGTGAAAACAAACCTTAGCTCATTGAAAGTTCTTGCGTTGCAGAAGCTTACATTTAGGTTGAATACCAATTATTTGTTTAGCAACCACCAGAAATTTAAGGCTGACCATCTTGGGTCCCGGTAAAATAGATTGGGGAGAGAGCAGTTCAGTTGACATGGAGCAGAATTATTGCTTACAACAAGTCGAAAAGCACATAATACGGGCTGACGTGAGAAACTCCCTGAATTTATAGCTGGCAGAATTGTGCCCCGTGATGTGTCAGTTTTACACTAAGGTTACCGAATAAAATGCACAAACCCTCATCTATAAATATGCAACACTATCCTTTGGAGAGTCAATCCATTTTTTTAGCCAATGGGATACACTTATCCTTCAAGTCATTTCTTGTCATCGATTAGGCTTGACATATCAGAGTGGTAACCGCTTTTGAACTCAATATTGAGAAGTGATTGCAATAATGTCCTCGGATACGCTAAAAATTGGTTTGATATGAAATATACTTCTACATGATTCGGTTGAATTCATCTACGACGATTAACTTACAATACATACTTTTAGTTAACGGTCACGTGAGCAAGTTCAAATCGAATAAACTGTACCATTATAAGTCATCTCATCTATCCACTTCAACAGTTTTCAAACTGCGTACCATTATCAAATACGTGAGAAAAATTCGAGACAGAGATGAGGTTCAAGGCGCTAAATTTAGAGCTCAAATAAACTTGAAACGATTCCAATAGCACGATACACCGATAACTAGGGAGAACTGAACCTAATAATGAACAAAACAGATTTGTCCATTATACATAAATACAGTTAGTGTGTATAAAGAAATGTGACGAGAAACAATGATTACACAACAAATGAATGTATTAGTTTATAATATAAGTGCATATGATGATAAGCATGAATCAGGTATGAAAATACAATGAATACAACAGTATGAGCGAACAGTACAGTGAAAATAACATGTGTACGTATATATATAGCATGCAGATAAGAAGACTGTAGAATGGAGCAGCGATATATGACAAGGCAACATATTTGCTGTTGTTAATGTAGATATAAAAACAAAAAGCAATAACATACTCCCGAAGATATCGTGGTACAACAACAGCGTATGACCAGTTGGCATTATTAAACAAAGCGTTAGTGAAATAAAGTGAATAGTCAAGCAGACAGCATATAGAAGAAAAAAAACTATATAACTTGTTTTGTTAGCACAAAAGAACAAAGAATTAGTAAAATGCAGTTATAAAATTGATATTAATTAGAAAGTTAATACAATTAGGGAAAACAAAGAATAATGTAGGTCATCTATCTTCAATAGAGCACATTTCACATGAGATGACATTTCTGTGTTAATGAGAAGAAACAAAAACAAAAAACAATGTAGATCGATAATACACAATAAGTAAAGTTGGTTTATAACAGTTCTAGTGACAATACCAGTGCTGATAATGACTAAACATAAGAGATATTTTACGCTAATAAAGTATCCACGAAGCACTAAATTAAAGGGATTTCATGTTAGGAGCCTAAAATCTATTAACCAAAACATGTTGAGTACTGTAAACATTGAAGACCTGCTCCTCTATTCTAAGTAAACGTAGTGAGGTGCATAGATATGATTATAAATGTATCTTCGACCGATAGGCCATTACGAAAACATGAGTTATTTCAGAAAAAAAAGAAACTGCCTTGATGTAAGGCAATAAATAACTTGAAATCGATTAGAGGTAGCCCCCAAATGCCCTGGTACGGCCGAGAGTAATGAGAATCAGCTCTCCCTTTCGAAATGTTCTCACACGGCCACGCACATACAACCACTAGCACGGAAGCCCTACCCATAGCCTTCTCGCAACAGTATGTTGTTTACGAAATTGAGAGGACGAAAAGCGAATGTCCAGAGCTTTAACCGTGTTAGAGGACACGGAGAATTCACATTGGGGGAGTTGGGAAACCCTGATTCCAAATCAATGGTGTACATGGGCTCCAGGATCCCAAAGAAACAAATGGCGTATGGAACAATTGCTAGTCACCGGTTACTACGGGATTGCATTTCTTTCTGTTGCTCCATTCCCTTGTGGATCAGACCTTTAGGTTAAAGGCTCCGGGTGTGGCCCCCCTAAGAAAATCACCTGTTTCGGTTTGGACATCTCGTGTAGTATCCCAGTCTTCGCACAAATTGAATGATTTATGTGGCGCATATCTATTTGATGCCTCCTTGTACTAATGTTTATGTGATTAAATAATAAATAATAATAATAATAGGGATAGGTAATCAAGCACCTGTGGTGCATGCATATCCAGAAACTTAATAATATACGAAGAAATCAATGCGGATTCTTAAAAGTTATACAACAAATCCAAGAAAGTTGTGATAGAAAATGTTGTAAAATATGTGGATAACGAAACTATAGTTTACTGACATTTAACACGACCATACTACTGATTTGAAATCTATTTCATTAAACTCGATAATCATGCTCTAAAGCATGACACATATAATATTATTTAGATATAAGATAAGCTATATGTATTCGAATAATGATAACCTATATTAATTAACCATTTTGAGAACAATCATAATTACAATATAATTAATTATCAACTGAAATTAAACCCAATTAGTACACTAACCTCATCATGAGCACGAACACCGGATTTACGATCAAAATTAACTCCAGAACGAATTTTTTCTCGTTTAACTGTGCATTTGGCTTGTTCCTTAAATGAAAATGACACAATTAGACATTTATGTATATACATAAATTCTCAATTAATCTAACCACAAAGATATTTAACACTACATAAAGCAAAGAGTGATAGTTTTTAATGTTCAGCTACAATTTAATGATCAAAATTTCTTCTTATTTTGTGTACATTTACATTAATTAAGCTTTCGAGATGACTGACAATAAAGGCAACAAGATATGACTAAATGATAAACATTTGAATATATAGAAGAAATATATGGAATGATACAGAATTCATAATAAATATGAGGGGTTTAAGTAAAATTATTTCTAGATTTCTTGCTTCTTTTTGTGATAAAAGACACCAGGAATTATCGTTTACAAAAAACTGAATTGATTCTAGTTATGGTTTAGTAACAGGAAAAAAGTGAATTCGGTGACAATTAGTTTTATCTTTATTTATTATATAGTAAAACTGTAAGTATTTCGGATGAACTAGTGCTTAAGATTCCTAGTATGACAGTGTGAAATATTTGCCAATAGACATTATCAGTTGGTAATTTCCATAGGCATAAAGAGTTCATCAATTTGTGATGAATGTAAGTAATGGTGGTGTGGATCTGTTGCCTGGAGAAAGACTTCTCGACCTTGAGTATACGGACGATATTGTCTTACTGTGCGATAATGCCCAAGGCATGCAATCCGCACTTAATCAGTTGGCAATCAGTGTCCGTAGGTATGGTATGTGCTTTGCACCTTCGAAGTGCAAAGTACTTCTACAAGACTGGCAGGATTCTAATACTGTACTCACCCTGGATGGTGAGCAGATAGAAGTAGTCGAGAAGTTCGTGTATCTGGGTAGCTGCATAAGTGCTGGTGGGGGTGTGAGTGATGAGATCAATGCACGAATAGTGAAAGCCAGAGCGGCTTATGCCAATCTGGGCCACCTTTGGCGCCTTCGTGATGTTAGTCTGGCTGTAAAAGGCCGGATCTACAACGCGTCGGTGAGAGCAGTTCTGCTCTATGCTTGTGAAACCTGGTCTCTCCGAGTTGAGGACGTTAGACGACTCTCTGTGTTCGATCATCGCTGTCTCCGAAGGATTGCTGCAATTCAGTGGCAACACCATGTCAGTAATGCAGAGGTTCGGCATCGTGTGTTCGGGCACAGAGATGATAACTCAATTGGTGTCACCATCTTGAAACACCGACTTCGGTGGCTTGGACATGTTCTCCGAATGTCGTCCCAGAGAATTCCACGTCGTGCATTATTTGCCGACTCTGGGACTGATTGGAAGAAGCGGAGAGGTGGTCAGTGCATGACATGATGTCGTGGCATTGGTCTATTCAACTTCCGATAAATGAATAAAAAATTAAATAAGAATATCTACTGAAACCAAAATAAAATGTTTGACCCATTAATTAGTGCATTTTTTAGTCATAGCAACAACAAGAAACCAAAAAGAGTTCACAATATGGTGTTTAGATATATTGAAACAGGAATATACATGTTTACTTTTTAAAATAAACAAAAAATCAATTGGACAGTAACAGGAATAAACATGTTTCACTATTTAAACAAAATTACTTCATAATTTTATTGATTAAACAAAAATAATAGTAAATATTGACTGATAGAATGATAATTTATAAACAAAAACAAAAAAACTTACTTCACCATCTGCATCAAGTAATAGAATTGTGACATCAGTGCCAGGATGAAAACTTTTATTCTTCATAGTTAAATCAGCAGGAGGATTGTGTGAATTGCCTTCAGCATCTTGACTCCAAATCTTAACAAAGTAAAAGAAGAAAGGAATTTAGGAAGACAAGCAACAGATGTTTTTACATGGATTATTAAGTATTTTTGAAGAACTTATTATCCAAGAAAAACACATCAATTATATTTGTCAGTTCTCTACAACTAAGGTGGCTTGCTTCAATATCTCAGCTACTTGTGTGGTGTGTGCTACTTATATTGAAATAAGTAGTATATAACGTGAGTCAGTAATGTAATGTCTGGCAGCAGAAGATTAGGAAGATCAAGAAAGGAAGAACGGGAATAGAAAACAATTAGTATGGAAATGCAAGAACAATAAAGTCCGAGACAATTACTGAACATTTTGTAAATTAAGTATTCTAGTATGGTTTTTCTATTTTACCAAGTAACTCGGTAATTTTGTGTTGAATATAATTCGTTTGTCCTCACCTGTGTTCTCCTTCACTACACTTGCTCCAGTCATCTAAACATTTTAGCAAGTTATTTATTTTTGTTTGTTTGTTTAATCACATAACCTATTCAGTTGCGTTTATGACCTTTCGTTATATAAATTACAAAAAAGCTCGACCAGAGACATCGTTGTAGCTAGTAGGCAATAACATATTGAAAAGAATGAACATTAATTAGATGTCGATTCCTGAGTTGCTAACATCTAACTGAGGATCACTCAATATTTATCATCAACATCGATCAAGAAATAAGAAAAAGAAACGTCCCAAGCTCCCAACTTTGGGGAAAATTTGACTCATTTTGGGGAAGCTGCTATAGTAAACTTTGGGGAAATAGCACTAAAACCCAAAAATTCCCCTTTAACCTTGGTCAAGGCCATTTGACTTTGGGGATTTCCCCAAACATTGGTGAAGGTCATTTGACTTCGGGAGTTTACCCAAAATTGGGAGCTCGGGTTGTTGAAATACTTTGTGTTGAGTATTCTATTCTATACCAAAGATATAATAATGAATAAAGCTAGTAATAATAATAATAAACAAGAAATAAAAAGTTAGTATTTTAATTCAAATTCAGTGTTTTAAGATATCCGAGAAGCAAAACCTAAACATGAAAATCAACTTACTGTGCACATTGCTCCAGGTTTTAAGGAGAAAGCCCGTGAAAATTTGAAGCGAGTCTCGTGACCATCAGCTTCGTGAACAAGTTCCCAGCCACCTAAATTCATTTCCTAATAAAAACAAAAATGATCAATAAAACTCACATTTAAATCTGATAGTAATTAGTAAACTGGGTAGAAAAACTAACCATGAAAACAAAAAAGAGTCAAGAATGTTACTCAGGGATTTGAAGATGATTGATAATTTCACTTACGACAACCTACGACCTCATGGGGCTCGTTTGCCCCACGTGTATGGCTTACCTAAGGTACATAAAAAACGTGTTCCTATTAGACCTATTTTGTCAATGGTCAATTCACCCTATCACAGTGTTGCACGATGATTAGCGGTCAAGTTGGTACCAGTTCGTCAACGACTAACCATATGCACATTAAAAGATTCATTCATCAACACGCATCTGACAAAAGTTACATTAGTAGAACAGAAAGGAGCCTACATCAGATTCAAAGAACATACCCTAGAAAAGCATTCAGCAGTGCCATGTCAAGATATCTAGACACAGGACATCAAGTCGACAAACTGTCCTTCAAAGTGACCATTAAACAACCAAACTCTAATCTTATGAAATCTGTCGTAGCCATAGTGACCAAAGGTGTGAAAACTATATTCGTATGCCCAAAAAGAAACAGTAATAAATCCTTTCTTGCTCTGGGAACATTATAACATCCTTTTTATTGCATTATTCATTATTTCAAATCTTTCTCAAATTTGATTACATCATTGTCATTTTTATTTAGTTCATAATCGACTGATTTCAAATTACATCTTGCATTATTACCATTAATCAGTTTTCAATTACATCATTACACAATCATCTTTATTTATTTATTTTAACATATAGATATTGGTACAAGGAGGCACCGAATACATATGCGCCACACAAATCTCATTTGATTTGTGTGAGGGCTGATACTGGTCGGGTGCCCAAACCGAACACAATCATCTAAGGTTTGTTAGTTAATTCAATGATTTCTAATCACTAGTTTAATGTCTTTTTGGAAATTTCATACTTTATTTATCTATTACAAACATTTTATTATTATCCTATTAACTCTACTGAAACATTCGTTATATCATGAAACGCAAATTCATCTCTAATCATCTTCATATCTATGAGTATGTTAGTGTCTATGAGAACTTTTGTTTTAAAATATTGTCAGTTTGAAAGCAGTTGATGAAAACCTAACGAAATGAGATAAATTCGCACTGATCTTTGTTTTTGGTCTCTGTAAGATAATAAAGGATACTATGTGTATTCTCATAAATTAACTGGAATATTTTTATTATGATCTGTGGTGTTTTGCAGTTGCTTCAATGATTTTAAGTGCCCTGTATGCCAAAAGATGATATAAATCAATTTTACCTCTCAAAATGTTATTATGAAGCTGAGAGTTTATAATCTCTTGAAGGTTAGTCCAACTCATTGAAATATGAGCGGATAACAATCGCTTAAAATACGTTGATGAATATGGCAGGTTTACGAATATGAGCCTGAAAATATCAATTTCAAAACAATGATATAATTGAACTTCATGACAAGGGGAGGAAGGCATGTATACTTAATTCAGTCGCCAGATACCATTACATTTTTATGATATAATTCCTGCATCGCTTCGTAGATTAGATCCTCAGTTCAGGAACTTGAAACGTGGGGACGTCAATTAAACAATGTACTTCAATTTGAGTGTCTCCTTTTAACCTATGCAGATTAAGGAACAGCAAAGTTTCTCTAGAATTCTAGGAAATCTACTTAACAAAGTTTGCTTAACCTCAAAGACTGGTATTGCAGATTTTGTCTTTCGATTTGAAGAGAATGTTTTGTGTACCTACCTACTTGAGGACACTACGGAATCGGTGTCTGACTTTACAAATGGCATAAAAACCAAGATAACAGTGTTTAACTGAATTTTCGCTGAAAGTCTTTAATGTCGCTACTAGATTAAAAGATCCGCATAGCACACTAAACATAAGGATTTGAAAATGAAATCTTCAAAAAACTTTACAATGTGACTCAAAGATGAGTACATGACGCCGTACTTAGTGAATGAGTTAAACTATCTACTTAGTCAGGAAAGGAATGTGGCCTGTACGCAATGGAGTTTGAGTTACATGGTTGAATAAACGTTTTAACAAAAAGCGTTGAACAAATATTGACAGATCAGACATCCAAGTATGGAAGAGGGTCAACTGAGTTGGAAATGATTATTCGGGGAGTGGTCTGACGAAACTTCAGCAAACGGTCTTTAGTTATGAAAAAATCGAAACCAAGTCACACTTTTTATCTGCTTTTGCTGTTTAATTACGCATAGCAATTGCACGAAGTCACGCATTCATTAAGGCGTAAAATTCACTGTGAAGTTTGACTGCTGAGTCAACAAGGTGGTTAGTGCACTTTCGTTTTCGCGCATAACGCTAATTGAGGTTTCACTAAGTATAGACCATCTTCATGTGAGATCCTTATTTTTACTGCATACAAACACGTGATAGATTTACACTGTCGTAATCAATTTTAAATCGCTGGCAGATATCAAGTTCACTTTCAAGACGACGGCTTTAATTTATCCTTCCTTTTTAGTCATAACAGGTAAGCCTTTATGCACTAAAATTTACCTAAAAACTACCGATAATTAGTCAAGCGATACCGAAAGTCTGTTTTGTCGTAATACGCGTCTATAAAGCGTTAAACGAAGCTGATTTCTGTCAAGACTAAACCTAAAATGATCTGCTACTGATAGCAAAAACGCAGTAATCAGGAACACTTGAGTGTTATTGAAAAAATGTAGCTCGTTTTACGTAAGTGGTCAGAAACGTATTAATTATGTTCACGGAGGGATTTTGAACCCGTAGTCTGACGTAAAAAAACGCGGTTTCAGGATTTGAACCCTTAGAGAGCTAAATGGTTTTCAAGGGTGAAATATAACTCTAAACGTATCTTGGGACGTTAAAACACAAGTTGACGTAAACTTAGTATAGTATATGAAATTCTTAATCATTATTTTTAGTGATTATTTAGATTCATACTACTTTTTCTCTCTGAAAATTCCTATTTAAGATCACAAGTTAGTCTTACATCATTTGAAGAGTTATGTATTTTGATCCACTTGCCATGGGTATCTTGTTCCTTGAAAAATTCTACAGGTCCACGTGCAGTCGATGACACTCGGTAGGCGAATCTTGTTCGGGATGAACTGTAACTGGCTCCAGTTAGACTGGCATTCGACTCATCACCCTCGAAATCTCCATCTACACGCCTGCGTTTGACCGGTATGTTGAACGGTGAGTCACGGGGAGCCGGTGTCAGGTTGAGTCTGTAAGACAAGATTAAATTTGATACACTCCAGTAACCGACAATATTCACTAATGTGGTTTTTATATAATGCTAATGACAGAAATGTTGTTAGATGGGGTGAGAAAAACTAATAATAACTTTCTAAAGCTATTATATAGAATAATACTGAAACAAATAGTTATTCACAAGGTAGGACCTTGTACAAATATACGTTGATTTGAGTTATCACATCTTATACAAACAAAGCAAAACTGTAAAGGACTGAGAATAATAATACCAGCAACAATGTAATGTTATTATCACCACCCTTCACAGTCACTTTGTGAATACTACTAAGAACATCTCTACATTATGAGTTTCGTTTGATCATTAGTTACTTAATGAGTTTTTATGTGATTTCTTGATCCACTTACCTAGATTTAAACATTAGTCAGTTACATGTAAGATCTGGGATATGCATATTGGTTCAATTCGCCGTACTACATCAGCGCAGCGAGATGTCAGAGTAGAAGTTACGATACCAACAACAGTAGGAAAGGTCAACCATAGACAATATGGATCGATAAAAAAGTATGAGATTATTTTGAAACTCGTGGTTTAAGGAAAGCCAAAAAGTGGATGCATCTGTGTCATTAGATGCGATCATGAGCAATACTCTAATTTGAGTATACAACGAGTAGGGTTGTTTGATGCTTGAATATGTTCGCATATCCGATTGAAGCTGTGATATAGAAGGCTCGACTAGCTTTTGCCAACTTGCGTCACTTATAGCGTAGGCGAGAAATCCGTCTACCAACCAAAGGACGGGTTTACTGTGCAGCAGTTCGTTCCGCCCTTTTTTATGGCAGTGAAACATGGCCGGTAAGAGTAGAGGATATCAGTAGGTTACTAGTGTTCGATCATAGGTATCTTCGAAGCATTGTTCGTCTATCCTGGGACCACCGAGTAAGTAATGCAGTTGTTAGGAAACGGGTACTAGGTAAGCATAGCAAATCACTTGGTCAAGTAGTGAAACTTCATTAGTCGAGATGGCTGGGACATGTGTTACATATGCCCAACCACCGACTGCCCCGACGAGCGATGTTTTATGGTGTATGATATGAGTAGGTTGGAAGAAAGCTAGGGGCGACCAGAACAAAACATGGCACAAGTCCATGAAGTCACTGACAAGTGAACTGAGCCATGTTGGTAGGTGTAGACTACCTGGTTGGGGACCGCGAGATGATAGCAACCGATGGTTAGAGACGTTGAAGGACACGGCTCAAAATCGTTTGCAATGGCGCAGGTGCATCCACTCTTTGTGTTCTCCCAAATTCTAATCTTCTGAATTCTTCATGTCCCTTTCTTTTTCCTCTTTCCAAATTTATTTCACTGGATTATATTCCTTGAATAACATCTTCAAACCTTAATCTTCCCGACTACTGCTTATACTCTTACTACCTCTACCACTACGGGATTTGGATCGATAACTGCATCTCTGTGCTAATGTGGTATGGCAACTTAAACTGATGTACGTACGTATGAAGTTCCACGTTGGACGACTAACTGACTGACTGTGGTTTACTGATTATGTAACTCAACTGCAAACTATTGAATCTCAAGTCTACCATTGTCTGAATCTATTATGGTCTGAGTAATATCAACATAAAACAATAAGACCCGAAACAAATATTCATTGATTCATGTTACCATAATTTAAACCACGATATCGGTAGGAAATTGGCAAAATAACGGTGGCGTTGATAGTAACATTTCAGCATGGAGAATGTAGTTTGCACAAACCAAATGAAATCGATTAGTAAAAAGCGTGACAGCGTTAAGTTTCAAAGAAACTACGAATAATGAATGTATCTGCTCCACTAGAGTCAGTTTTCAATCAAGTCATATAAACGTCTCGAGCACTGGTTCAAAGGATAATCACGCAGACCATAATACAAAAATCCACAATTCCTAACACAGTTCAAGTTGAGTGATTTCATGCAAAGATGACAAGTTTTAGTTTGACAGAGAACAATTTTTACAAAACTTGCTTTCATATCAACCAACAAGGAACGACAATGTAAACGGTGTTAGACAATGTGTAATACATATTGATGAGGTTTCTCAACTTAATCAATTAATATACCATCTTGGCTGGTTACTCTGTCTAACCACACCAGTACTCACTTCGGGACACAAATCATCAGATACATCTAACCGAGTTATGCTTCACACATACAACGATCACCCTTTGTCTTTTTAAGGTGATAATTAACTCATCGTAAAGCAAATTTGCTCTTTGTGAAGAACAAACCATCATGTCATGTGCGGGAGGGGTGTAAACAACCTCCTTGTCGGCATTTTCACAACAATCATGAGTAATATTCGATGTTATCAACGAAAATCAGTAGTGATGGAGATAATGCTTTCATTTTTAACTTTTCTTTGAGCTCAATATTAATTTATTACTCTTATTCTACCATCTAAAATGTTTCCTTTAAACAACACCTCAGTTTAACTTTGCAATATTAACGTATATAATCTCAAACAGTTATGATGAGGGATAGGGACTTCGACAGAGGCACATTTATATGAGGACCTACGTCACATATAATTGACTGACCACTAATTTACCAATAATCTCTGGTTTTTAAAAACTCAGAAATCGAAATTTTTGGATTTATAGTTTGAGGAAAGTTATTGCTACCACTTACCTTGATTCTTCACCCTCTAACATTTTTCGATACATCAATATTTCTTGATCTAACGCAATTTTTGTATTCATGAGGTCGGTAAATTCACGGAAACTTTCTTCCAATTCTTCTTTTAATCTGTTTACTTCCTGGCGTTGGAAAAGAAGTTGCGATTCGAAATCTTTCCGTTCATCAGTTAACTGCCGCTCAAGATCTGCTACTCGTCGTTGAAGCAATTCCAGCTCAGCGATTTTCTTGGATAAATCGTGGGAAAGTTCATCAGCACGTTTGCGAGCTATCAACAGCTCAGATCGCTGGCGACTAGCATCTTCTGCACTAAAATTAGCTGATGACTTCAACTGTCCCAGTTTGCTCTATAACAGAAAAAAGTTAAGAAACATGCATGCTGAAATTTCTAGTTTGAATAAATCATCTACTAGTCAATAAGCCGAAAATATTTGCTGGCAGAAATTTATTGAATTGATGAAATATTAGGACGTACAAGCACATAATTAGAACGACTCGGGCTCGGACGGATTTTACGCTATTCCACTGTTGCTCTAATATAATCATCACTCACTTTATTAATTAAACAGAAAATAAGACTTGTGTCTGGATGACAATCAGTTTTTGATTTCCGTCCCGATTGTAGCTGCTACCTTGACGTGGTGGTTGGGCTTGCCTATCGTGATGACCCAATCGAGCTATATTGTCTGGAACATATGTTCCAGTATGTTCTATCATGCCAGGCAGCTTAACTGGAGAACGGTAAGACTAAAGGCAGGAACTCAAAGTCTAAGGGCGAAGTCGTACTACTGACTGTAGAGGGGTATGACAGCAGTAAGGTGTTGCCCTGGTATGGCAACTTAAACTGATGTACATACGAAGTTCCACGTCAGACTGATTGACTGACTTTTGGTTTCCGTATAAAACATTTGTTAGTGAACTAGGTTAAAAGGAATGCACCTGAAACAGTAGAAAAATTTCGTTGAACCATATTACTTACCATCAGTGAGGTTGGTCAAAACTAGTGAGTTTTAAAAAACGAAATGTCTTAAAATGTACAAATCAATTGATCAAGAACTTGGGTACAAGCTAAAACACAGTGAGGGTTAATGACACTACCTGATTACCTAAAACGAAGTACGCTAGGTGAGATTCACACCTAGGACTCAGTGACTGAAAGAACATTCTAACTACAAAGTCACTGCGATGAGACTATAATCTATGAACGACCTTTGAGCAACGCCAAAGTGACTTTGGAATGCTCACCTAACTAATAGGGTTGTATATTAGTGCGGTGAACTAGGATCGATATTTACAGCTGAACGTCAGGGTTAGGAATTAGACCCAACGTTTTCACCACAAACTGACATCAACTATAATGCCAAAATGGTATTTAGCCAAATGAGTGATTGAATTTTGCGCCAAAACCCAAGATCTGTTATCTTAAATCTAATTGATTTGTCTATAAATTATAGTATTGTCAGTCACTGCTTCAAGTTGGCAGTGAGATGTGGATAAAAATTTAGGTCGGGAAGAAACAGGTTAGTGAACTATACTTCGCGAATAAACTACACAATGATGAAAACAAATAATTTCCCTCAAAATCAAGAAGAATAACTTGAAATTAGGATTATTAAGTAAAGAATTAGTAACTTCTTAGTAATCCAACATTTCTGTATACATTTCGCTTTGAAAACTACTATATATATATATATATATTCGACAATTACACTAGTGATTACTTAGCACCGTTTATAAAAAGAAATAATGAGTGGAATAGGGCTTGAACATGACAGCATTGTTATTTGGAGCCGAAACTAATAGTTAATACGAAATAGCAGCCCTCAAAATTCACTCATACATAATAAATTGTATGGAAGTCTAATTGAAATCCTACATGAATTTTGGCATCATAGCTTGTTGTTTATTCTGTCGTGGATTTAGAAACCTGACCATGAATTTCGCAATATGTAAACAATTCATCTGGACAGTTGTCAGTAGCAATAAGTCAAGTGCTGTTACTATAAACAAACAAGACTTTCACCGTGGGAAATGTCTACTAAACATCACTGTCTTCATGCACCATGGGTGTTGTTTACGAAAATGAGAGGACGAAAAGCGAATATCCAGTCGTTGGTCACCGGCTTCCATGGGACTGCATCTCCTAACGATGCTCCACTGCCTTGTGGATTAGACCTTCAGGTCGAAGGCTCCGGGTGTGGCCCCCTAAGAAAACTACCTGCTTCGGTTTGGGCACCCGAGCAGTATCACAGCCCTCACACATATCGAATAGGATCTGTGTGGCGCATATGTATTTGGTGCCTCGTTGTACCAATATCTATGTGTTAAAATAAATAAATAAACAACACATTTAATCATGTACCTCAAACGTTTCTTCCATTTGTATTTTATACTCTTCTAATTCAGAAGCGGTTTGATCTCGAATTGATCTTAGCTCCTCTGTTAATCGACTTTCGTATTCAGCTTGTTTGCGTCCTTCGACCTCTTCTTCAATATATAAACTGCGTTCAACTAACTTTTCACGTTCCTGAAAGAGATTTACGAATAAGGCGGACTTACTTCATCGAATAACCGAGAACGGAAATCTAACTGCTCTTTAAGACCGAGGATTTTGTTTTCCAAATCAGTCCGAAGTAGTGTCTCGGCCTCAAGGTCTCGTTTCATTTCTTCGAACCGTTTTTCTAAAACATGGTAGTCACTAAGGAGAGGCTGTGAGATAAAATTTTAAGACTATTACAATCTACCTGGTAAGCATCATGATCTTGTTTATATTTACTCAGTTCCCTTTCAAGATTTTCTGTCTTTCTCTGTAAATTACGATTCTCTTGATCTCGTTTGTTTGCCTTCATCTTTACGTCATTCAACTCATCTCTCATTTGCTTGGAATCTAGCTCGGCTTTTGACTTTTGTTTAGCCAGATCATCAACCAAATTTCTTAAGGCTGTAATTTCATCTTCATATGTTTTCCTGGCTTCCTCAACTTTACTCTGCAAGAATTGTTCCTGAATATAATGCTAGTTACCATTCGTTCTTCTGTAACGGTCTGTATACGTCTAGTAAGCTTTTGTTTGTCAAGCTCCAGTTTTCGAACGTAGTCGATGTAGCCCGCAAGGCGATCATTCAGATGGGCAAGTTCATCTTTTTCTTCAGATCGACTAATAGTCAAAGGGCTACTAGATCTTTCACTGCGAGAATAACTTTTTCGAGGACTTCCACTTGATGATGTATGGCTGCGTTCAATCGTAACGGATCGAGAGAACGATGTCGGACTACTTTCGTTTTTCTCAGACTCCGCAGTTTTTTGTTTTCTGGCTCGAGCGGACATGTCACTAACTATGAAATTCGTTGTAATGCAAAGTAAAGTAAGTTAGTGATCAACTTTGTAGAAACGATAAAAACTTATTCAATTCAACAGAAAGACGATTAACTATTGTAAGATAATCTAACGAAGTTTAGTCTACTCTTATTTTCGGGTAGTTATATGTCTATAGTATTATGGGGTTATTTAAGGATATACTTTAATCTTGAATATTTGAAAGTCATTTGATGATCAAATTTCATATGTACAGAAAACATGTTAAACCCCCGTTTTTATGAGCGGTACTAATTAGCTGCTAAACAGAACCGAGAGATAAAAGTGACCTAATATCAAGCAATATTGGGACTAACACTAAGTACGGAAACCACTGATATTCAAGAACAATTTATACGTTGAGCTATTTTTAGGTTATGAATGACAAAGACACGTTAGATGTGACTACCAGACAAAACGCACTGAACATCGTCAAAGTATATTCACTGAGTACGGTTTCTGCACTTGTATAGGTCACTTTGCGGAAATTGTAATATGATTTACTAAGTGAACTTTTCTTTAATATGAAGTCCGTAAAGAAACTCAGTAATAACGTTTAGGTTAGTAAACTTAGCTTTGAGTCAAATCACAAAGAACTATTGGTTTTATAAGACTCAACAGGATTCGTTGAAATGTTAGATACGAAAACGTATGATCCATAAAGTACTGTGAAGGACAAAGTGCAGTCAATAAAAGAAATGTTGGTAAAAAAATTCGCAACATAAGAAATAGTTCAGCTAAATACACATCCAAGAGATATTTTAGTTGAAGTAGTTCCCACTTTATAAAAAATTTATAGGAAAACTACAGCTGGATTCCAACTAGTTTTTTAATCTGGACAACATATGACGTCTGGTCACTGGCACGATGGTTCAACTCACCGCCTAGTGACCCACTTACTAGTAGTAAAAACCTTAGCAACTTGAACTGATACACACACGTTCTAGGCTGCCATGCGCTATAAAGTGCAGTTTAGTGGTCGAGGTTGCCAGATGGTGTAATTAGCAAGACGGGCTTGGGAATCATGATATGTCAATTTTCGGAAGCATTGGGCGATCGGAAAATGCCAGGATTGGTGTGAACAATCTGTAATTTACAAAAGCTGTCGATATTTCGCACTAACAAAAACAAATGAACTATCTGTGAAGCTTTCCAGTTTTACAAAGGATTTTTTGCACTTGGGAACTGTTAATTCTTTTGCAGCACTTTCTTATGTTGTGAATGCAACAACAAAATGTCTTGATTGCTGTCTTTTTTATCCTTCACAATCAATACATTCAGACTCTCCCAGAAGTTACTACGAGTTTAATGAGCGTTGTAACACTAATAATAAGGGAAGATGTTATACACTATTAAAAGGTCGAAAGTCATCGAAATATGATGACTTATTTATTATCCTAAATCGACATAATTTTGACATGCACACTTAAATAACTGGAGAACATAGGCACCGACAAAAGAATACTTACGACTTGGATAACGTGCACCGGGTTCTTGAGAATCCAAAAACAGTACAGGTTATAGAACATATAAACAACAGAAGTTCAAAAGAACAAAAACAGTAAATCTCAGAGTTTTGATTAACCTTCAAATCCTGTTTGCCTGAATAAGATAATATTTGTTTCCAGCATTTTTCTTAGTTTTATTGTTTCAGTTCATATACAGGTCTATTTAGCACGCTACCCATACGAATTGAAAGTATGGAATTGTAGGTGACCGTATTGCCGTATTACATGCTTCAGAACAAAGTTTTAAGAATATAAATTTTTAGCTAAGACTTTTCTAAGTGACCGTTTTTAGTCTTCAATCTTTGTTGGCAATGAGAGGAGTCCTACCGACCTTTTGGTCTTTGAAATTTATAACACTGTAGGGGTCCAGTCTGGCTTTGAATGTTTCAACAGGTGCTGATACTACCACCTACCCTTCCAGTAATAGTATTTTATCTGACATGCTTTCCATGGGTCCATGATCCTTTATATCATTGGCGAAGAGTAGGACATATGACTTTGCTACAGTTGGTCATTTACACGAAGTAAAAAAAGGAGAGGACCGGGGATTGTACTTTGAAGAACTCCATATTTTACAGATTCCCATGCTGAAAGAGCCTTATTTACCTGTACACTCTGTCCTCTACCATTTAGAATGTCATTTATTCATTATATGATTTCATAATGGATCCGTAAACTTTCCAGTTTTAATTTAAGACCCAAGGGCATCAGACCCATGGACATTACATCCACAGGAATATTTTCGTCATTTCCTGCAGCTCGATCTTCTCTTGTATTGAACAAATTTGTCAAACATGAGAGGCCTACCCTAAAACCTAGTTGTTCCCTCGATAAAAGATTGTTCCGTTCCATATTAGTTATAAATAGCCATCCGAATAAGCAATTCCATTAGTTTGACAACCACACTAGTTAGACTAACCGGTCAGTAGTTACAAACCAAATCTCTGCCCCCAGACTCATACACTGAACTGGTTGTTGTATCTTTCCGGTCTCTTGGAAGCCTGAGTTGCCACAGAGACGTCTCGAGCAGTATGTCTAGAGGTTCAGCAATTACGTCCGGCAGGCGGTATTGTTTTCTAACAAAACCATCATTGAAGCTGAGCGCATAATTGCTGAGAAAATATACATTTAACATGTAACGCGGAAAGTCAACAATGGTGAACGTGAGAACAACCGATCGGTATGTTATGGCTGAGCCATGACTGGACGAGTTGATACAGAGAATTATTTGACTTTCACGTAAGATCTTATAGATTCAGTAGTCACATCATAACAAATCTACATTTATTGGATTAGGTTTATTATTACAGTAACAAAGATAAATGTACTAATACGAACTAGAAAATAATCCAACACTGTCACTTTAATGGACTACAACTAAATACAATTAAGACTGGCCACTGAAATAAAGTGCATTGTGTCGTGATGTGCAACATGTCTGAACTGATAAAAGGCTGGAGTATAAGGCCGAATGAATGTCTGGTTATTTCGGAGGAATGACAGAGGAATGTTAAACTTTCGCTAACAATAGAAATATATATATATATCATCAAAGTTTCATAGGTTTCATAACATTTTGCAGACACAGCCGTGTTGATATCATAAAGCTTTTAAATATTTGCTTAGCATTTTTATAATTCTAGAGATCATAAGATTTTTACGATAGTGTATTAGGGTGACAAAACATTTGGAGTCGAAAGAATGTGGTTGTCAATACAAGTCCTTGAAGATGCCACATGTATTTAGAGTTTGACAAGGCTTTAACCAGTAATATCTTCTACTATGAACCGTACCCACCAACTGAAATCCAAAGACAGGCGAGGAGGTTCATAGATATATTGGATATGCTATCAATATATCGAGAATCGACTGATTTAGGCTGCTTAGCGATTGCAGGGTACGTTGAGCACGGCGTTCCCACTCGTGATCTGGTGCGGATGCATGACCAAGCCCCTTCAGCTAGGTGAGTCCATTAAAACTAATGTGGTCAGCATCCAATGTCGAAGACTTACAGAGATATTTGTTTTGATGATTTATTTACCGCTACATTCTGCTGATGGACGATTTAGTTTTTGGTTATCCTTGTAGACGGTATGTTAAAAGCACTCAAAAAGTGGAAGTAAACGATGCTCTCGTTCAAGTACTTTAAATCAGTATCACTTTGCATAAATGCTGGTATTTGGATAACTAAATGTTTGCAAACATACATGCCGTTTATTGTAGGCCCTCACACAAGGTTAAGTACCATTTGACGTACACTCAACGAAAACTGAGACTTAAATACACTTTAGAAACTTTTTCTTCAAAATTTTGGACTAAGAAGACTGTCTTTGACATTAATATTTATTAGCTACAACTACTCTTCAGCTAAAAAGGTAAGTGGAGTATGCAAGTCAGTGTCAATAATAAACAACATTGTTGCTCATAAATGTTGGTTCTTTTGTTTTGCTTTATTCATCATAGGCGTAAATTTGGATGCAAAGTAAATGATTTAGAAACTTCAATCAGAATCAACAAATGTCAGTGGTCCCAAAATTATAACCGCGTTGGCGGTTGGTTTGACAAAAACCGATACAAGTGCAACTCGAATCAGTGTGGAGAATAATACGACTTCTACGTAAGATCTTTTAGAGTAGGTAGTCACGAGGTGACTAATCTACAAATCTCGAATTCGGTCTACCACTATAGTAGAAAAGAAAATGCATTAATATCGAATTAGACCATAATTCTACGGGTTGACATGTTCGGGAACGTCCGTAAGTGGTGCCTCAATGTACATTAGGTTCAGTGGGGCTTGTCTATTCCTCACTTCTCTAAAGTGATCTAATCACTTGTTCCACTGAGATCAAACCTCAGTTGTTAGTTTGACCGTTCTTTTTGATTGACCTCTCTGATTCATTGAGATTGCCCAAGAGATTCTCCTTTGCATCATAGTTATCTCATATTTTCGTCTCCTTATTTGTCTGCTGTCGTTGCTAGATATGCCACATATTACCCCTAACGGGTTCTAACGCTGACATTCAATTGTTAGTTTGCTTTCGTACATTCAGTCTGCACTGAAGCTTCCTCTAGCTCCGTTCGGTCATTGTTGGCTGCCGTCCTCTTGTTTTCAGTCCCTCAACTTTTCTGTGATAGCACGTTCAGGGTCGCGAAGTTATTTCCTGCAATGAGCTGGACAGAGTTACGGTGGGAGGGATAGTTGTACGCGTTCGTTTCCTCCTAATAGCTCAAACCAGTTTTCCGCCGTCCGGTATACATTGAGCGTACCTTACTACTGGTGAACACAGATACTCACCAATCAATTAAACGTTCCATATTAAGAAGGTAGCCCAATTTCTGTCCACTTAGAATCGGGAACAAGCAACGGTCATCAAACATTAGGTTACCTAACGGTTTCTAACAGACTTAAAAGTGGCCTACAGAAACCATGAAACTGACAGAATGAATTAAGAATGACCGCATGTATCTGATGCTTTTTATGTTACACAAGTATTACTATAACGCTCCTAATAAATGGTTGTAAATGAATCAAAGGAATTTTTATACTTACTGAAATGTTCTGTTTAAAATCTATAGTTTTTGGGCAATAAGAACTTCCACAGCTTATCACTGTTAGGACGTTTAATACAGGCTTTACTGATATACACTAAACGAGCTCACGAACGTTTACGAAAACTATATCTCAACACCTACCCACAAACTTCATTTTCCAGGAAGACTGAAAATAAAAGGGTAAATAGTGAGTGTTTAACAACTTAAGTTGATTTGTTAAGGGTTGACATCAAAGTTTCAAGTACATTTCAGAACATTATGGCTCAAGTACTCATTCGCTCCCTTACTTTGTATAGGTTTTATATTTTCTATTGTTTTATATGGAATGTTGAAAAGCTTTGTGTGTTTTAAAAGATAACCTCACGCTCCACTGAAACATCCAGTATCTAAATAAAAACATTCACCACCAATCTAGTCACTTCTACCAATAGAACGTGGGGAGGGTGACCACCGGCACGAAAGGGGTAGCAAAGGGGCTACGTCAACTTCTTGTTCGATTTATCATGCAACAGTTAAATATTGGTGAAGGCAGCTGTGTACTGCTAAAGTTATCAGGCCATCGGAATATCAAATCTCAACAGCCAGCTCATTTATTATTATTATTATCATCATCAGCTTTATTCAATATTATATTTTTGGTGCAATATAGAATTCTCAGCGCAAAGTATTTGATTCCGAATTGTTTTTGGGGATATTTCAGGGCTTTCATTATCTCACTATGAAGGTGGGGGGAGATGTCATGGTAAATAGGCGTTCTAAACAGTGATAATTCCCATTAATTGTTCGCTGATATTACTCGTTAACGAGCTGGGTCAAACATCTTGTTCAAATCCCTTCACAATTTCTATGAGCACCCAGCTCTAGATGTTCAATTTAGAATCCACAGGCTCATCTTTCTGTAGCTCTGTCGAGTTGTGTTTTTCCTCCTCCTCATCATCAATTTCCCTTTATTTATTTTAGAATATCACTCTTGAATCGTCATCATACCAGAATCTCTCGACTGTCAAATCTAGAATATCTCCACCCTTTAGTTCCTATCACCTGCGTAACGTACTCATTCCATACATCCTGAAGATGAAGAACATCTACCTGTACGCCTTTGCAGGTATATCGTAATGAATCTACCGATAACCTGATGCACATGTCCATAAATCCTTCTAGATAAGCAATTTTTCGTAACGTAGAATATCAGATACATTCGTCGACGGTTGTTGAGATAGAAACGAATGGAAAAAATGTAAGACTCAACAGAAATATAAAATCTTCAAGCAGCTATGCGGAACGAGAATATTAGGCGCACGTTCCAACTAAGAAAGTTATAGGGTCTGTGACGTAAATTATCAAAACGCTCTCTGCTGTTAACAACAGGGAAGTAAACTAAAGATACTGAAATACCTTACTTACTTACTTACTTACGCCTGTTACTCTTAATGGAGCATAGGCCGCCGACCACCGATCTCCAACCCACTCTTTCCTCGGCCTTCTTTTCTAGTTCTATTCAACTGCTGTTCATTCTTATCATGTCTGTCTCCATAAGTCGGTGTAATTAGTTCTTCTTTGGTCTTCCGCTTCTCCTTTGACATTGACGATCCCAATCGAGAGCTTGCCTTATGGCGCAGTTGGGTGCTTTCCTCAGTGTGTGTCCTATCCCCTTCCAACACTTCTTCCTGATTTCTTTCTCTACCGAAATCCAGTTTGTCCTCTCTCACAGTAGGTTGCTGCTGATAGTGTCTTGCCAGCGGACCCGAAGTATTTTGCATAGACAACTGTTAATAAACACCTGTATCTTCTGAATGATGGCTTTCGTAGTTCTCCAGGTTTCCGCCCCATACATTAGAACTGTTTTTACATCTTCCAAATCTTCTCCGTCAATTGAGATTGGATTGGTGCATGCTGTGTTGTATCGGAGAATCTTGCTTTTTCCTTTGTGTACATTGAGAACTGCTAATCGTAATTACCTAGCTTGAATGAATTGTACTCTGCTGAGACAAACGCATCCAGAACTAATATAGTTATCCAGGTAACGAGGACGAAACTAGACACAATTTAAAAATTTCGAAACAAGATAAATACTGTATAATTCAAATCTGCTTCCACCCTCACTCTATTTTTATAAATTCAATCAGTCATTTAGAAATAATGGGATCTAATACAACTAAACGTTCAAGGTTTTCCTCCCAAAGAAGTCTGATAAATTCTCATCTTTGGCCGCATATTGTTCTGAACGCAATAGAAGAAGCTTTCAATTAACGGGCTTCCATAACCAATAGCAGTGGATTACCAATATCTCTAAGTAAGGACCTAGAAATATTAATGATAAGAGAGAAAAAAGAAAACGATTAGTAAATCATGGTGAAATACCATCCTTAGTCCTCAAGAATATGTCAAGTTTTCTCTTAAAGGTGTCCTGGAAAATCGCTTAGACTAGCTAAGTCGTCAGCGAATGACAACATTTAACTACTCTTAAGGAATAGAGATGGTGTCTACAGTCCGTTCTGCCGTTTTGAGTCTCCAGTTTCTGGGTGTCACCCCTAAGGTTTGTGTTGTGACTAAGTTTGAATAGGTGTTTGAGGGGATGCCCAAAAGTTTTTAAGATGCTTTAAGTCGCCGCTAAAACGCCCGTACTATGAGGGTAAAAGGTTTAGAGACTGGAGGCGCCCACCACAAGACTTGAACTTGAGTTCCCGAACTGATTTCGTGGCTCGCTGTTGGATAAGTTCCAGAGGTTCCTCATATTTTTTTAGTGAGGGGGGAAATGTTACGTTTCGGTACTCTAAATGAGTTCTAATAAAACCGTTGAAGATTAAGTGGAAAGTACTTTCATCGAAATGGCCGAAATTGATCTTCAATATTACCAGTGCAAGGTTTGCCGAAATAGCGTTTTAGTCGCAGTTAGCGTAAGACTTCTGATCGTAGGGTACCAACACTCCTAGATCATTTCATCTTTGGATACCTCTAGCAAGGAGTTACCTGAGCTGTATTCATAGTATTCAACATGTCTCGGATGAACTACCTTACACCTGGAAGTATTAAAGCTAAGTCTGTTGTTATCTGCTTAACTGCGATGTTAAGTCAGATCATCCAGAAGTGCCAGTTTATCCTCTTGGTTGCCTACATCTTTCCACCGTGGTCAGCAGGTTGATTATACAACAGTGACTTTTTATGAAACCTTGCTATTGGGGTGAAAAGAAGTTTATGAGTAATAAGTAGTCGTGTAGTCCATCACATATCAGGGGCTCCATAATTTTTGTGAGTGTAGAGAGGTGATTTATTTATTACTCTTTAGGATGCTTTAACTTGACAGGATTAAATTAAATTGAGAAAACGATAGAATTTGAATCGTTAAAATTGCTAAGACCGCAAACCATGCTTCGACTTCTGTCATTAATGAACAACCCAGGTCTTTGATTTTAGCTGCAAGCCGCCGTGACCTTGTGACTCGTTTGAAGTTATACTCTCTAGCAGTTAAACCATGTGCTTCTACTTCCGATTCCAGGATCCCCATAATTTGAGGCTTATGTTACTGATGGTTGCTGTCTATTATTCTTCTTTATAAAAGCAAGTGCATTGTGTACGCTTGCTGTGTCGTCGACTTACCTTTTCCTTTCACTTATTCCAGTCCTCGCCCATGCTACTCTGCATGCTCCGGTTGTACAAAGTACCCTCTGGCTAGACACAAACGACTACAACTCTCCTACTAAACCGTTTCATTAAGTATCTTGCGGTATTTCCCCTCACTGAGTTAAATATATATTTTCAATCGACTTCAACACATCAAGACTACTGTTTTTACTTTAATTGAACTACTTTCAGTTACAAAAGATTGTTCGGGAGTTGTTTAAGTGTTTATGTGAAAATCGGGTTCTTCCTAAAAAGCAGCATTGATTTATAACAGGTTATTCATGTCTCGCAAACTTACTAGTAGCCCTTGAGTACTGGTTAGCTCCTGAATTTGTAAATCGCATGCAAGCAGCTAGCCCCTGCTTAAAAAATACAACGGGCTGTCGTAAAAGGTCCAAAAAAACTGTAGCTAAGCTGATTTCCAGGACCGAAAGGCTCCTGTATGACAAAAAACGAGGTAAACTAGTCCTGTTTTCTCTGTCTAATAGAATGACCAGAGGTGAATTGATCATAGTTTTCGAACTCACGATAAATTTGCGTTTGATATGCCTTCATTTTTCTTATTTTCTAATACAGAATTCACGGGGACACTAAAACTTCATCTGATTATCAACTTTCTTATCGAATCATCAGGGAATGGAAATCCCTAACTCAATACGTGTTTGAAGCTTTGTCAACGTTTTCAAGAGAAAGGTAGATCAACCGAGACCACTATTCCCAGGAATAACACGAGCTATCTGTCCTTTCCAAAAAAAACTTGACATCAACCTACCAAAGGAGTTCTAAGTTATTTTTATGAGTTGATGGTTGTTTCTTCTTTTAATGCAAACAGTTTAATTTTGGTCACAAGATTATACAATTGGTTGATCGATCATCTATCCCACAGAATCTAGCTTCTCATTATACTTCAAGATGTTGGTTCTAGCATTGTGTCTGGGACTTTTTAGTACCTTCACTGTTTTAGTAGTCAGGTTTTTTTATTTGAAAGTCCAGTGTTGGTTTTGTGGGCATACTGCCTTCACATCATGGAGTAGAAAAACATCGTTTGTTTGTCAACAATGTGGTCAGTATAATGGGTTTAAAAGTGATGGTGATTACAACAAAGTTATACCATCTCAGTTCATTGCCGAGTTAAATCCAGTTAATTTCAATAAGGTAAGATCTATATTTACCCTTGATCTCTTTAGGCTCACGGTACGTTTTCATCACATTCTGATGTATTGTGCCCGGACTGTACACGTAATCAAAATACTATTGTCCAAAAGTTGTCGGAGTATACCCCGAAAAACGACAAGTCGGATGAGGAAATAAAAGAATACACTCGCCTGCTGGAGTTGGAATATGGTTTGTGTTCAAGTTGCTATCGAAAAGTTAATAATAAACTTAGGCAGGTAGGTTGCAATTTTTTATTGCATATATATTACATAGAGGTCACTCAAATCTAATAATTTATTTTCATGACTTCTGTTAACGGTTATGATTTTATTGTCATTTTGTGAGGGAAAACCTCTCACCCATTTGTATCCCCTTATCTAACAGTAAGTGCAATACAGAGAACTGTAAAGAATTGGTGGTTTGTTTTTGAAGGAACCAGATGTTTTCGGGCGGTCGCCAAATAAAATGACCTTTAGGGACGTGTTGTTTTTCATTTCAACAAATTAAGTATCTATTCATATCGTTACTTTTTAAAGTACCTGGATTTTTAAGGTCTAGTTTATTAAAGCATACCGCCGCCACGGTCTCGAATGTTGAGCCTCCTGTGTTGCACTATTGAATAAGAAAGTGCATTAATATCAGTTGTCAAATTCTAAGACATGAGCTTACTAGTCTCAATCATAACTATCCCAATTTTCCGACCATTAAAATGTTCCATATGAGCATTCCTCGTTGAAAACACGTTACTGTAGTTCCTGAATAAATACATCAAACGCCAAGCAACAATCTGCGAATTCATAAAAATACTAGAACAACTTGCCTTCGAAGGGATAAGACTAATAGAGCTACAACTGAAATTCCCCGCTTTATCGTGCTTTATTTGCTTTTGTTCTTTTTGACAAATGTCAAGATTGAAATAGTTTGAGACTAGATCGTGTTTTACCGCATTTGTCGTATTATATAACGCTACCTCTTTTGTTCCATAAAATAGAAATTTCGATGACTGTTCATCTGTGCAAGCTTATAATTGGCTTCTCAGCGCCTGAACTGTTCTGAAACTTCTAATTTTTATATAGTATCGTTGTTATGACTTGTTCGTTTTTACGGTGCTTTCAAGCGGAAATAAAACTGACAGTTCCACTTGCACTTCTATTTACCTTACTACAGCTTTGCGACGTACTAACAGTAGTGCTGGTTGCGTCAGATTAATATGGTTAGATTGTCTGGACAGATGCTATATTAATCATCCACCTATTTAACAGGTTCCAATAAGTGAAGTATTCTTTGAATAGAACTATGGTGTTCGATAGTAGAAGAGGTTTCGGTGTATCAAGGCTCTTGTAGGAGTTTCGGTAGAAGTAAACTACTACAATGATTTGTGAATAACATGCCGACCAATCAAAAGGTGACATTTAGTCTTAAAACAATTTATGATAAGAAAGTAATAAAATTCTAGTGTATGTACAGATTTGATATGATTAGTGAATGTTTACATGTTGAATTGCTTATTATAGCCAGTAATATAAGGTTCGAGTTAGGATTCATGGTTGGTATTAAAGTGAGAGGATTTTCGGTAGCTATACTGATGCATATGAATTCATATCTCAAGAACTAAGTTACCTACAACAATTTATAAGTGTATCTTACCCAGTACCTTTTATTATTTTTTGGTTCAGTAAATGAGTGCTGCATATTAAAGTATGGTTGGTTCGGAATTTCGTTTTATGCAACCCCTCGCTTTCACTACACTTGTGGCTTTTGATTGGTATGACACTTGCGCTACATGGACATGTTCATAGCAGATAGCTGTGGATAACTCCAGCTATTTTAAATGAAATAATTTACAGTTGCACTAATATGTAACACTCGCCCACTCAATAAACAGAACAGTAACTAAAGTGTTGAACACACAAATGCCCTGGTATGTCTGAGAGTGGGAAGAATCAGCTCTCCCTCTCCAAATGCTCTCATATGGCCACGTGCGTACAACCGCTGCCAGGGGAGTCCTACTCACTACCTCGTGGCATTATTGTTGTTTACAAAATTGATAGGACGAACAACGAGTGTCATGCGCTTTAACCGGGTTGGTGGACACGGAGAGTTCACCTAGGGGAGTTGGAAAACCTTGATTCCAAACCAATGTTGTACATGGGCTCCAGTATCCTAGGGGAATAAATGATGAATGAACCAATTATTGGTGACCGGCTACCGTGGGACTATATCTCCTTATGTTTCTCCACTGCCTTGTGGATCAAACCTTTAGATCAAAGTCTCCGGGTGTGGGACCCCCTAAGAAAACCACCTTTTTCGGTTCGGACACCAGGACAGTAACACAGCCACGCACATATATACTCGGTGCCTCTTTGTACTAATGTTTATGTGTTTAAATGAATTCATAAACAAATACAAATTTAAATGACAATTACTTTACTCTGCTCTTTCCTTTTAATTATTTCATTGTTTCTTTCTCTCTCTCTCTCTAACAGTTAGATTGTAAATTATTACCAAGTTTCATTGAATGGTGGCATAATAAACAACGAACCATTTGTCTAACTAAAAATTCTATTTCATTAAAAACTTATCGTAAAACTATTGCATGGTTTGAATTATTAATTGTTTTACGTATTATTAGTATCTTATGTTTGATATCCATTATTACTGGTCCACTTCTAATTGAAATCAGTAGACAAACATGCCTTATTCATATAACAACAAATAAGTCTTATTTATATAAATTTGTTGAATTAGTTTGGTCTAATCATTGTCGATCTTATTCACGAAGATATTGTACTGAAATATTGACTTATTCACAACATTTCTCTCTTTCTAATATTGGTCAATTATGGTTTAATTTATTAATGTTTTGTTTACAAATAACACTTGTTGCTATGACTAGTTTAAGGCATGGTAACAAACATTATTCAATGTATTATGATGGTATAAAATCATTAGTCTTATTGTATGATATTTCAATGCTTTTAATTTCATTGAATATTCTCTTATCATCTTCTTCAGTAAATATTGATAGTTTTAATTTAATGAATAGTATGACATGGTCTACTACTTCATTTACTCATATTACACTATTAGGTGTATTTGTTTTGTTTACTTCATTCATTATTATTATTTATGGAATTAGAATATGGTTATCATTCTTTCTTAAAGATTGTATGTCACAACAGAAAAAACTAAAAAGTACTTGGCCTAGTGATGTTAAATTACCATGTTTTCAATCAACCGATAGTATAAGTTATTATTCAACACCAAGTCATTATTCTACAAATTGTACAATGAACTCTTTAAATTCAAGTAGAAAATCACTTGAAGATGAATTGGCTGATACAAAATTATGTTCAACAAATAAATATGATAATATATTTCGACCGTCTGTTCTAAGTGGTGGCAGCGGTGGTGGTGGTGGTGGTTGTGGTGCTGGTAGTAATAATATTTCCCCTAGTGTTATTAGTTCTCAATACTCGAATGTGAATTCTCAACATTCATTTATATCGTCTAATTTATATTCAACTCGTTACAATCCAATGAAACAACCACCACCACCACCACCATCACAACAACAACAACAAATGATTGAATCTTGTCGATCTGATGATGACAATTTAAGTTGTATGACAAGTATTAGTCATTATAAATCAAATAATCCTAATTGTTATACACTTGATTGTTATTCAAATAATCATTTACCTACTTATTTATCACAATCTAATATTAAACGTAAAACTGTTTCATCGAAACGTAAACGACGAACTGGTCTTATACATTTTATATTATGTTTATTATTTGGTCGATTAGAAACATGGAATGATGTACGTTTAGAATTAACTTGTTTAGCAAATGCAGTATTCCTTAGTATTGTAATTTATTGTACATGTCGACTAATGTTTTGTCTTGTTAGTGTATTTGATGCTTAACAGACTTTTGGAATTGTAATTTTGATTACTTTGTTTTGTATTTGTTTATTACCGAACTGGTGTTATTTTGAAATGCCCCTGTTCATGATATACAGACGTTTGAGAAAAGATAATGCCAAGTTGTATTGACTGGATGTGAATGATCTATAAGTTGATAAACAGTGGTATTGGTTATTGAAAATTAATAAAAAAAATACATTTGTACATGATTGTGCTTTGTTTTAATTTGTTCTTGTCATAACTTGTGGCCTGAGTGCCCTGCTAATGTATAACGTAATGATACCAACCGGATTAACGACGCATAAAACCCGTGAGAACAGTCTAGAGTCCCTATTGGCCCTGCTTTGTGCCTAGCCCAACCAATTATGTCCAGATCACCAATCTCAGCTTCTGCAATATGAATCATTATATTTCAAACATACTGGGTTTATATACTAACCAGACAGACCACATCGTAACGTAAAGTATGGGACAACATTTATACATGATATGGCCAAATGTGACTGTAAGTGTAGGAGATAGTGATTAATAGACTGGATATAACTCAAAAATGGTAAATCGTGTAGTAATAGTTCATAGGTCAAAATAAAGCTCATAATAAGAGGAACATGAATATTGGCGCTCTCTTGTACCAATAATCATGTGTTCAAATAAATAATAAATAAATCAATAGATCCCAAAAGTTACCATTCATTATTGTTGTCGGGACATAACAAACTAAATGGGCATAACAGATCTGTTTAAGAAATTTCTGATTTTGTTTCGCAATCAATTAATGTCCTGCGCTTTAACCGGGTTGATGGACACGGAGAGTCCACCTAGGGGAGTTGGAAAACTTTGATTCTACACCAATGGTGCACATGGGCTGGCTCCAGTATCCTGAAGGAATAAATGGTGTATGAACCTATTGTTGGTGACCGGCTACCATGGGATTGCATTTCCTTACGTTACTCCACTGCCTTGTTGATCAGACCTTCAGGCCGAAGGCTGCGAGTGTGGGACCCCCTAAGAGAACCACCTTTTGCGGTTTGGGAACCCGGGCAGTATCTCAGCCCTCACAAAAATCGAATGATTTATGTGGCTCATATGTATTTGGTACCTCCTTGTACCATTCACTAATATAAATAGGCAACCAAGTTGAGAGCATAGATTATCGTGGATTATACTAATGAGGATAATTATCCTCAAATCAACTAAGAAATAACTATCCTCCAAATGTGATGGTGATTTGTTTTTCTAAATATTGAAAATTGATGACATAATCTATGAATGAATATAACTTCTCATTCATTTGGCTTAATGGTGATACATGAAACTACATTTTTTGCATTTTTAAGTAGATACAACAGTTTGTTTGGTGAATATGATTGTAAGGACTTTATGCCGTGAGTATCTCATATAGTTGAATGTCATTTTTTGAAATTCGTTGATCTTCATACGAGAAGGGTATTGTAATCCTTTGTGCAATACATGACCTTTTATTTTCTATGAACATTTTCATAGAGTTAAAACTTCCCGACAGTTATTCGAGACTTCTGATAGGGTAATCAAGTAGCCTGTTTTCATGATTGATCATTTGTTCATTATCGGGAAGTATTCTATGAAATCTATCGGCAGCCTATATTATCTCAATAGAATTACTCCAATGTTTCCTTAATTACTGTTTGCGAACTGGATACCAGTCTAGTAAGCGTAGTGTAGTAGGATATTTTAGATTAGTCTTTTGTAATGTATATTTAATATAACTGATTGTTAATAAAACGTCCCATCAGGTTTTCTTCATCCTAACATTAAGGAAGCTGGAGCTAGGTTCATTTTCCTACTCTAAGGTAAATTTTATCGATAGGTAACAGCTATAGATTACATATTTAAGACATTATTCAAATTGGATTTATGATCGCAGATAACAAAAGTATTGTTTGCATACAAAACCAATCGCTTATTGCCTCTTAACTAACAACACTCCATGTTACAAAAATGCTTACGCAGGTAACACACATGAAACAGTCACTTGACAACATTGTATAACAATAAACATGAAGGTGCTGTTCTCCAGCCAACGCATAATTATCAACAACCCAAAAGACAAACTATGGCGTTTCACTTGTTCTTTGTGTGTTTATCAGTGCACCTATTCATGCTGGGCAAGTTGTAATGGTTGTTCAGTGCGCATTTTGTGCAGGAGGGTTAAAAAGCTCTACGCTACATGGTTAAGGAAGCGGATTAGTGGTTGTATGGTGTAATCTGCTTATGTTGGCTGATATAAGTAGTATATAACAGTCGGAAGTGGAATGCCTGCCAGCAGAAGATTAAATTGAAGAGAAGAGGAAGGAAAGCGGAGAGTAATCGAGATAATAACAATTAGAAGGATAATTGAGTATATAATATATAATAGTGATTTTGTACTAAACAATTAATTGGTTTCCTTCATCTGAGTTCTCGTTCACTACAGTCGGACTAGAAACTCAATCATAGAACGTCTTATCACGACAATCGATACAACCAAGACAGACCCATCGTTTAGTTATCTGTGATATATTTTACTGTAACCTTCTCTATACACCGTGAAACCAGGACTTGGTGTACGAAAGAAAAGTACTCGACATCTTAATTTTCACTTATTTAACCACATTACTAACTACAATCCCATCATTATTACTCTGTTTAGTTTTCATAAGAATCTTACTTCATTTTCAACCGAACCCTTAAATACAAATGAAAATTCTGTACGTTTATTTGTTTTTCCTTGCTATATTCATTTAATCGCTGTTATATGAACATATATGCGGCTGCACAACTTTAGGAATGAAATCTCCGAAAAGAAATCTTATCAAATCAGTCTTGTTTCCGAATAGACTTTTATATAATGCGATTCACGTACAACGTCTAACCGTAGATAGTTAATTTTTCCATCGGTAAACTATAAGTTGGTACCTATAGCCGATAGGACACTGTTCAGTCATTTGAAAGCCAACTATCAAAACATCTGTGTAAATATAATCTACTCATCCGTAATATCAGGTAACCGGTTGATTTAACATAACCAATAGAAAGAAGGAGCTACCCTATTATCTTAAGCGATCATATTGAAGTAATTTTCATTGTTCTGATCCATCATTTAGTGGAAAGTAAAATCGGTTTTGTTGATATTTGAGTCGAGCTCTATCTGTTGATGTGACCAGCATAAGATCTATGGGAACTCTTAGTTTTATGTAGGACCAAATTACTTGCTATTGATTTTAACTAAGAAATTCGTTCTTGGTGGCTCTGGTCTTAAATTATCCAAGAAAGAGTTAACTAGTAGCAAAATGAGATGGAACTATTTTTATAATGAATTTAGCACTCTTCACGTAGTCAACTGGCTGGAACTACTAAGCTGTACTGATTTCCTTATGGTTTCTTGCTTAGTATTACAACTAATGTTACGTCGTAATCTTACTCTATTTTCAAGGCAGATTATCTCGTAAACGACGGCTTTCATCGCAAGATATAAAAGTAATATCTGGTAAACTTTGTTTCTATGATTAAGCAAATTTGATTTCTTGTTCCATGCTTGCAGTGCATGAAACTTACGTCAGTAAAACGACGAAGTGTAATGAAAATCTTTATTTGCCAATCAGCCTAGTAAACATGAAATTTAAACCAATCTTATCTAAATAGTATTCATAACCAATACAGTTTCATTGTTAACGATCAACAGGTGAAAATGTTAGAAAGAAAATATTATTGGGCTTCTTCTTTAAACTAGTTTTCTGGTACAGAAACACCTTGAAGATAAATTGTAACTGGTCCAGGTTGTTTTTCTGAACTTGTTTCTTTACTTTGATCCGACTTCTTATCATTATTATTTTCTTCGGGACTTGTTTTCGGCTCATTTGATTTGATTATAACGAATTTCACTTTCTTATTTTCTAATGTACTCCTTGTACTTGCTTGTGGTTCGGTCATGTTATTTGGTATTTTTGTCGGGATTACGTAGTATTTGGGCTCACTACTATTGACCCTTGTGATTGTGGTGTTGTTATTGATTTTTTTCTGAATTAATGCGATTCGGTTCACTTGTTGTTCTGTGTTATCTGTTGTCGGTATTACTGTCTGTACATTGGATACGTGAGCAATTATTGACTTTTTCGGACTTGCTGGTATTTTCGGTTGATACATATCTCCATTCAATGAAAGAATACCGAATGGGGGTTGATTATAGCGATTATTAAACGGTGTTTCTTGAGGTACATAACCACGTCTTGACTTTTCAGTATCCCATGGTTTATTTTGTTGATCAAAGTTTGTTTCTTTGCAGATGAACTCTTTCGGTTCATCACATCGCATAGCTTGAATGTCCCATTCTCCTTGACCATTGTTTTTCAAGTTACCAATAATACAACCCTGGTGCTTATTCAGGATTTTCTGCCAGTGTTCTCCATATGTATCTGGGAACCGGCGGTAATTGAAATTTGATCGATCTAGCCACCGCAAAACGACATACTGATGATTCATTAGGTCTGCAGTCCCTCCTAGCCATATTTTAGTTAAACTGGTATCTCCAAAACATTTTGATAACATTGCCTATTTGTAATAATATAAAAAGTGTTTTCAGTTTAGTTAGCAAATGAATTTTAGTTGAGAAATCAGCGTTAATGTATGTACCAATCATGCTTATAGTATGGACTTCATATGGCATTAAAAGCAACTGTCTTGTATTGTTGTGTTACATTCACCTAATTGCTATTTTAATGTTTTCTATTGTCTAGTACTACTATACAAGCCCACACATAGGTTATTCTAGCTTCCGGACACACCGACTTATTGATCTTGAGTCACATTTGGATCTTGTCAATTGTTCGCTTATTAATCTTGACTTTTTAGATCATCATGTGTGTACAATTTACCCTATTCATGACATGTCTTCAGCTTTATCAAAACGAGTTGGCTTATTCGCCTTCTCTGCTTTGTTTTCTCGCTTTTCATCCTGTCTGTCCGGATAAACGGATACTTGAAATGAATTCATCCAATACAACATGTATATAGTAGTTAATCAATAGTCAGTATTGTATCGCAGTTCATATGTGAACAAGTTCCACACAAGTTGAGTGGGTAGCTTATTACTTAGTGTTCTGGGAACCAATAGTGTGGCACATAGGGTTTTGAGAACAAAGACTACATTTGATAGAAGGTTCAGATTTCATTCCACTCGTCGTAGTATGATGATTAGTCTGTCGATATCTTCACTCATATAACACGAGTGTATATGAACACACACACACACAGTTAGTATAGCTCATCCCGATCCCCTATTTTACTAAGCATTCATTTGTTTTAAATGAAGGAAATATGAACATATAATATTAGATTTCATCCAAGTTCCACTAATCTTTGGCCTTGCGCTTAACAACAATCTGATCATGATTACTACTTTCGGAATCATTTTTACTAAATGAGAATCACGGTATAAATCAATAAAATGAACACTGTCCTAATTGCTTTATCAAAGTGAGACACAAATTCATTTGTAGTTGACGTGCCATCCGAACCTATAGTTTGTATTACCACTAAAATTGATCACTTTATTTATATTGTGCCAGTTGAGTCAATGTAATTGGCTTGAAATAGTAATATCATAGGGAAACTTATTAAGTTATAAATATGGATACATAACTATTGAAACAGAGGGGTACTGAAATATATATACACTAAATAAAGTAGTCATCACTTAATTTGTGTATGAGCTGAGACACTACTCGAGTGCTCAAAACAAAGTAGTTAGTTTCTTCAAAGGGCCACTCCCTGAGCTTTTGACCTGGAGGTTCAATCCACAAGGCAGTAGTGGAGCAACGGTAGGAGATGTGGTCCCATGGTAGCCGATGAGTAAAAATAGGTTCATACGCCATTTGTTCCTTCAGGATCGTGGAGCTCATGTGCCATATTGGTTTGGAATCAGGGTTCTCCAACTCCTCTAGGTGGGTCCTCCATCCCCCCCCATCAAATAACATGATAACATTTCATTTAAGGAATCCTTAAGATGACAGATTTTAAAGTATTCAACCAAAATCAAACTAAAAATCACTTGACATTATCCAGATAACCCGTAACATAAACTTTTTAGAGTCTCATAACAATTTAACCATTTATGGTCCACCAGGGTGCTTGGTGCCTGTGTAGTTACGCCACAGCATTGAACTGTACTATTCAGATTGTAGCATTAAAGCCTATACAGTGTCTGTTTCTCCTATGAAGCGGGATTGAGTTGTATTGCTCGCGTTATAAAATTTAAGCTTAAGCGGTGTCTGGCTCTCTTGTTAAACACGACTGACTTGTACTGTTTGGATTGTCATGTGAACATGTGGATGGTGTCCAGTCCTAAAATTACTCTGACCCAAAAGGGTATATTATATAACTGTAACTATTAGTCATTAGATAACAAGTTAACCATTTAAACACTTATCAGAAGACATCTATTCTATCACAATGATCTTAACCGGTTACATAGAATTTTATAAACTAAAGCAAACTAACCATATTCTCACTTACCCATTCATCATCTGATTGTATCGATGTTAAATGTGATTCCGATGAAAATACTTGATTACAATATTGTTCAGCTTGATGAAATGGTAATTTCAAACCCAACACTTTTCTATATAGATTACCATGATATTTCATAGTTTTCACTTGTTCCACCATTGGTTCTTCATTATATTTTCTATTCGATTCTTGTATGGAATAATGAGAATTGAATGAATATGGATAACTGTTATGTTCTAAATGATTCGATGGATACCATATACATGTAATATAGAACATTTGCATAAAGAATACAGTCAAGATACTTTTCATTCGATTCATGACATTCATTATGTTCTAGTACAAATGATAGAAATGAAAATTGTATTTTACTTTTGAGTAATACTTTCGTATTATTGAATTGTATTCACTAGTTTTGATTATTCTTAAATACTACTAATATAAATACTATTACTACTCATAGTAATAATACTAATACTACTATTAATCATAATGGTAATACTTAATTCCTATTTGTAGAATTAATCACGATGTCAATGATCATTTCAATTTGATCATATGAACGGTAATCATAATCTTCTTATAGTATTGATTAGTTGTGTAAAGGATATTTCATTGAACAGATAAGTTGAAATGATTAATATCTGTGTAGCTTTGATTATTATCGAGATGATAGAGAAGAATTGTAACTTAGATGAATGATTTTGCTGAAGTTTTGTTCTTTGAATTGGATGGTTTAGTTATAGAGCTAGTGTTAAAGTATTTTACTTCTACCTGAAGTTTATGCTGATAATGTCGTTCAGAAGAACAATGAAAGCTCCATAATTAAGCTATCCAGCTCAGAGAACAAAACTTTATCAACATAGTTGTTGTGCTAGCTAAATAAAGTGTTGTTATTCCTACCCTTTAGATATTAATACTGTTGAACAGATAGTTCAGTGATTTAGAGGTTATACGTTTGCGTGTACGAGACTGAAAGTCCTGGGTCCGAGTCCTTTTTGGTGTGGCAGAAATTTAGCCTAGATCGACCAGACCAAAACATGACACAAGTCCATGAAGTCACTGACAAGTAGACTGAGTCATGTTGGTAGGTGTAGACTACCTGGTTGAGGACCGCGAGATGATAGCGATGGATGGTTAGAAACCCTGAATGACATGGCTCAAAATCGTTTGCGATGGCGCAGGTGCATACACTCTTTGTGTTCTCCCAAATTCTAATCTCCTGATTCCTCCTTGTCCCTTTTTTCCTCTTTCCAAATTTATTTCACTGAATTACATTCCTTAAATAACATTTTCAAACCCTAGTCTTCCCGACTACTGCTTATACTCTTACTACCTCTACCACTATGGGATTTGAATCGACAACTGCATCTCTGTGCTAATGTGGTGTGGCAACTCGAACTGATGTACGTACGTACGAAGTTCTACGTTGTTACTAACTGACTGACTTAGATCGAACTCATGAAACTAACTACTACAATCTCCACAGATCCCCATTCTATCTCTTACAGTTTATTAGTGCTAATTAACTATATGATTTTCGTTTTTCACTCAAATGTTGTATAAATTGATTACAATTATCTCTGCCAAAAACCATTTGTTGAATTTATCTGGTGTTATTGTAACGAATGATGATTTGGTTAGGGTAATTCAATTCATTGTGTTATGAAAACTCATATACTGCATTTATAAAATATATAGACAATACATTAAATGAATTATTTGGATATCTTCTTTGAGTTGTCCCTTACAAGATCTATTGTTCCTACATTCTTGATATTATTTCGATTGACTTCTATTTTTCTTTCTCTCCTCTTTATATTTGTCTTCTGTTCGTAAGAATTCAACTTTCAATTCCTGAACCTCCAAATGCTCTGGCACGACCGAGAGTGGGAAGAATTAGCTCTCCCTCTCCAAATGCTCTCACATGGCCACGTGCATACAACCACTGCCAGATAAGTCCTACTCACTGCCTTCTCGCAGCATTATTATTGTTTACGTAAGTGAGAAAAAGGAAAGCGAATGTCCTACGCTTTAACCGGGTCGATGGACACGGAGGGTTAACCTAGGAGAGTTGGAAAACCCTGATTCCAAACCAATGGTGCACATGGGCTGGCTCCAGTATCTTGAAGGAATGAATGGCTTATGAACCTATTGTTGATCACCGGCTACCATGTGACTGCATCTGTATACGTTGCTCCACTGTCTTGTGGATCAGACCTTCAGGTGAAATTCTCCGGGTGTGGCTCCCTAAGTAAACCACCTTTTTCGGTTTGGGCACTCGGGCAGTACCTCATCACTCACACAAATCAAATAATTTATGTGGCGCATATCTATTTCGTGCCTCCTTGCACCAATGTTTATGTGTTTAAATAAATAAATTCAATTCCTGATATATACTACTTCTATCTGTCAGTATAAGTAGCATACACCACATTATTAGCATTCTTGATGTTATATTAGGAAGTTGTGAACTGTGATGAGGTAATCAAATTAAAATTAAGATCAGTTGACCATAGAACAAACTGGATGTACGCTAGGCTCTATAATCGTTGGCATAAGATTTTGAAAATATTGTTTATTACATTCACTTAGTACTGTTTGCCTATATCTTCCCATTGTTGTTTAGGACTGCAATTGATCAGTCTCTTATTGGCATATGTGCATCCTGTGCGGATTGCCTCGATATTACCTTGCGTCACACGCTTTCTAAGCAAAAATGGATAGTGGTTAGCAGTGGAATCCAGGATGCACGTTTCGGAGTAAATATCAACTCTGTGATGTAGGTACATCCAACCAACAAGTTTCAAATAGGATGAAACGTGCGTCCTAGATTTCACTGATAGCCACTATCCATCTTTGCTTATTGTTTATGAGGTTTAGATAGTGTGAATTAAAAGAAACATGGAAATATTGATCATTATTATGGAAATACTTGACGATGACTCTTACAGAAATGTTCAAAAGTGAAACTAAACAGTTTCCCAGCGGTATCAAAGCTTTGTCAGTTTTCTTGTAGTGAAGTTTCGTAAAACTCAGATCAGTCAGTTCTTTTAAATCCAAAAATTAAATATAGAAATTCGTTGTAAGCAGATTAGACTTAAATTTCCCGTTTTTCTCTATCTTGTGTCCTTACCTCTCTGCATGAAAACAGTATACTATACTTTGGTGGGGGGGGGAAGTATTCTATGTCTTCACCAGCACAAAAGAAGGTGTACCACAATATCTGTTCTTTCCCCTTTACTCTTCTCATTTTTTTCGCGTAGTCTGCCATCTTCCACAGAAATCACTTCCGTTAAATACGCGGATAATCCCACTGCATTTACGCCAGTTTCTGTTTTTTCAAATCTCCTTGAAATGAATAAGTTCTTGTTGCTTTTCAAACGATGGTCTTTTCTTAATGGTCTCAAACTTAATCCTTCTAAATGTCAAACTATTAATTTTAGAATAAGACATAAATAGCACTTAAACACGTTGTTGGAATCCCATAAAGTTTGTCAGTCAAAGCATATAAACTCGACAACACATTATCTTACAGATATACAACTCAACGAACAGATTTTTAGAGTTGACCTAGTTAATAACTTGTATTCTCAATACATATTGTTCATAAAAAATCTTTAGTAGGATCATTGTTGGCAGGCATAGGCCAATTCACAACAATTTTGTAAATTACTTACATACTTACATCTGCATAGGCCGCCGACCGGCATTTTCCAACTCTCTTTACTAAGCATTCTTTTCTAATTCTATCCAACTGTTGTTCATTCTTCTCATATTTGTCTCCATTTCTCGGTGTAATGTGTTCTTTGGTCTTCCTCTTTTCCTTTGGCCTTCAGGATTCCATATGAGGGCTTGCCTTGTGATGCAGTTGGGTGCTTTCCTCAATGTGTGTCCTATCCACTTCCAACATTTCTTCCTGATTTCTCCCTCCGCCGTATTCCGGTTTGTTCTCTCCCATATATTAGGTTGTTGCTGATAGTGTCTGGTCAACGTATCCGAAGTATTTTGCGTAGACAATTGTTAATAAACACTTGTATCTTCTGGATGATGGCTTTCGTAGTTCTCCAGATTTCCGCCTCATACAGTAGAACTGTGTTGACATTTGTATTGAAAATTCTGACCTTGGTGTTGGTTGACAGTTGCTTTGAGTTCCAGGTGTTCTTTAATTGTAAATATGCTGCTCTTGCTTTGCCAAATTTTGTGAATGGATACCAGCAAATATGACTCCTTAAGTTGGAATTCTCCCTAATTATAAAGCTGAAATTCTTGGTGCTTAGACAATTTAGTAACCAACCTTATTTAAGTATGGATTACAAATTTATAGCTTTAGTGTCATATAAAAACTTCCTACAGTTTTAAAGAGGGTATAAATTCCTGAATTGTACATTTACATTATGACCTATGTAGTTAATTTTAATTTATATGACAAATGACGTATCATATCGTCATTTTACATAGTGAAATCCTTCTAAAGTCTATTCAAATGAATTACAGTGTTTTCTTGAATGAATTCTGGAAAATTAAAGATATAGGGGCTGGTACTATTGTGGTATGTGCTACTGATATCGACAGATATTAGTAGCATGTATCATCAATCGAAAGTGAAATGTCTGGCGGCAGAAAGTTATAAGAAGATCGAAGAAAACAGAACGAAAACAAAGAATAATTGGTGTGGAAACGAAAGAACAATAATGTTTAAGACAATTGATTGACATTTTGTAAGTGAAGTATTCACTGTATGATTCTCAGATTTTAGTAATTTTGTGTTCGAATACATTCGATTGTCCCCATTTGTGTTCTTGTTTACTACACTATGTCAAGTTCATAGAGGTTATTCTAACCTCTGGAAAGATCAGTCTATTCATTCTTGTCAAACCACATCTTTACCCTATCACTTATACGCATATCAACCTTAACTGTTTTTATATGATCCTGGTGAAATTCAATTGTGTGCTGTACCATAAATGAATTGAGAAGCAGTATTCAGATTCAGGATAAACTCCTTAACTTAACAACTTATACATCAGTCATTATGATCATAAAACATACTTGCCATTCGGATTTCATTTAGTTAACTGGAAAATCTTAGTTGCATTGTACTGTACACTAAACAGTAATAAAGAAGTTCCGTGGTTTAATACATAAACAATTCCCACTTTATCTTCAATACGAACGTCAAGGCAGTTCTATTGTACAGAGCTGAAACTTGGAGAACTACAACAACCATCATCAAGAAGGTACAAGTATTCATAGATGGTTGTCTACGCAGGATACTCAACATCAATTGGCCGGATACCATCAGCAAAAGCCTTCGTGGGAGAGAACAA